AAATAATTTGTAATCATTCTATATAACAATTTGAAGTCATGACTTGTAGTCAGCACTTACCAGTGGTTTGTAAGCGTGCGCTTCAGTGTGCTCCTCCATGATTTCTTGCAGCCTAATGAACCACACACTTGCACCTTTTTCTAGCCTGACACCTGATTTCCTCTGTTGTGCTGCTCCATGATTGGCTCCAGCCTGCTGGACTGAAATTGCCCCAGTGTGCCCCTCCTTGATATCCCGCAACCCACCACCAGGGTTCCGACACATAACACACTTTTTTCAGGAAAGTAAACCTCCAGGGGTCCTTTCCATATTTTTACAGAGACTGCATAAGGACCGTTAGAAAAGCATTACCCATTGATTATTAAGCTTGGACCAGTGGGGTCCGGTGTTCGGGCCCCACCACGTAAAACCAGTCCCCATGACGTGAGTGGAATCTCAGGTTATGGAACCCACCAGGAGTTGAAAACAAGTGCACACACACACAAGCGGTGTTTATGTGGCACCGCCCACCATTATCTCAGAGCGGCTGAAATGTAAACACGTCTCTGTAAACCGCTGAAAAACGGCTAAAGTGAGAATACTGGAGGATTATCGTTGGACGGACTGACAGATTTGACCAAAGCACAAGGACTCGTGCATCGTGTTTTCGGAGTTTTTTACGGATTATTACATGGAGGAGGAGCAGGACTTTTTGCGGTCCTCGGCAGGTGGACAACGTGTTTCCCTTCTTCATCATTACAAAGGGCCTGACCAGTAACTTTAAGGTAAGGAACATCAGTTTTGGATGTGTTTGTAAAGCGAGTGATGAAACTGATGTAGCGTGAGTTTGGGGAAACTGCAGCGGGCTAGCACGAGTGTTCAACCGGTCAATACGCCCGTTAAACCTCGCTGTCTGGACTCTAACTTAACCAAATAATATCTGAATTAGTCATTTGACGGATAAATGTTTGCTTCCTTTACCCCTTGACTCAGTTTTATCTGCGTTTGTGGAAAATATGAAGATACAAGCGTTGAGAGGTTTCTTTGCGATGGCAGGAGTTAACGGTGTGGCTGAAGCTAAATGTGGCAAATACTGAGCAAACACGAGCGCGCCGTCTCATAAGAGCTTAATTCACTGAGTTTTTCACAAAAAACACAGCTGCTAAGCATTTTTGAAACGTGTCCCCCCCCCACCTTCCAAACGCTTCCGACGCCGCTGTGCGGGCCGCATCCGGCATTTAGGAATCGAAAAAAGAATCAAAATACAAACGTCTTCTTAACGGTTCCGGAACCGCACTTTAGGAACCGGTTCCAAATAGGAACCGGTTCTCGGTGCCCAACCCTATTTATGTCTGAACTTGTCTTGTGCACAATGGGGACTTTGCGGGTTTATGCCAACATGGTTTTACTGCAAATGGCAAATAAACAGGATCTAAATCTTTTCAGAATGACATTATCTGCACGTTTGGATGTTCTTATCAGTGAAACATGGCGAAGACCACGAAAGCCCACATCGTGAATCTCCAGTTTTACACGGCACTGACGGGGCTTGAGCCAAGAACCCGCCGACCCCAGGACTGTCCTTGTGAAGGTCCTCGGTTTACACGGCGTATACGGACAAGGTTATCTGAGATGGATTTCTAGCGCACCATTTATCAGGATGACCTTTTGTTTTAGAGGTTCTCTTTCCAGCAGCGACAGGATAATTGTCTTTGGGGGCATGTGGTGACCCCCGGAGCACAAGAATTATAGAGTGGTCAGTCTCCGAACGTGGACAAGGCCACACTCGATCAATACACTACAAAAAAAAACAAAAAAAATGGATGGATTTGTTTTGCCAGCTACAAGAATACTATCAATATTAAAGGGGATTATTAGGTCCGACTGTCAACATTCAGTTCTTTCATAAAATAATTGAACTGGGACAAAAGAGCAGATTTCCTTTGATATTCAGCCAGGTCAGAGATGTTTAATCACTGCTGTCTAGTAACCGCTTAATTTAACAATGATTTATGCCTAAATACTAGCTTTTAATTATGTTTAACTTGTGAGTAGTTTGGGTTAGATAATGAAGTTATTTCTATATTTGTAATGGCCCTTTTTGAGTCGATAATTGATGGACAGGACAAATGTTTAGGCTGCAGCCCCCACTTCTTAAACAGGCCTCCTCCCAGACCCTCCATCAGGTTTTTAAAATGTTTGTTGTTTGCTGTGAATATGGAGATTAACGGGAGCTTTAGTGCTCATAACAACATGAGAAGTGTCTTTAACTAAAAACACAGGTCCTTTTTTAATTGCAGTCGTCCTGATTTGCTGTGTGTGTGTTGCATGAGGTTTATAGAAGTAAAATATTGGAAAACAAATACAAAATGAATGTAATATTTTTCCCCTTTTGATGGAAAAAATCTTGAATCAGTGAATCTTCCAGTGTTTGGCAAACTGAAATAGGAGTTCAAGAAATATGTTTTAGTCAGATCAATTCTGTTGCTACATGACCGCAGTCAAAAAGCAGCCGGAAACTAATGCCACAGGTGACAAAGGAGATAGAAACATGAGCTACAACAGGCCCATTGTCATTGGATACATTATTTGGAGGCGTGGCTACACAGGAAATTCTTACTACTTTTTAAGACTAAAGGTTCTTTCAAGCTTTAGGCTCTGTTTGATTCTCTCACTGTGAAGAAGCTACTGCGCTACATGTCCACGTCCTCTTCCCCAGAGCTCTCGTCCGCCCTGTTCACCAGAGTATAGCTCACTCTAGAGTATAGCTCACTCTAGAGTATAGCTCACCTGAGTATAGCTCACTAGAGTATAGCTCACCTGAGTATAGCTCACCAGAGTATAGCTCACCAGAGTATAGCTCACTAGAGTATAGCTCACCTGAGTATAGCTCACCTGAGTATAGCTCACTCTAGAGTATAGCTCACTCTAGAGTATAGCTCACCTGAGTATAGCTCACTAGAGTATAGCTCACCTGAGTATAGCTCACTCTAGAGTATAGCTCACTCTAGAGTATAGCTCACCTGAGTATAGCTCACTAGAGTATAGCTCACCAGAGTATAGCTCACTCTAGAGTATAGCTCACCAGAGTATAGCTCACCTGAGTATAGCTCACTAGAGTATAGCTCACCTGAGTATAGCTCACTAGAGTATAGCTCACCTGAGTATAGCTCACTAGAGTATAGCTCACCTGAGTATAGCTCACCTGAGTATAGCTCACCAGAGTATAGCTCACCTGAGTATAGCTCACCTGAGTATAGCTCACCAGAGTATAGCTCACCTGAGTATAGCTCACCTGAGTATAGCTCACTAGAGTATAGCTCACCTGAGTATAGCTCACTAGAGTATAGCTCACCTGAGTATGGCTATATCCACACGAAGACAAAACGCTTATAATTTCAGAAACTTTTTCTGTAAACACGGAGTTAGCTCAGTAAATGTGTGCGTCCATATGAATGTAGTCAATACGCCTGAAAACACTGTGAAACTATGCCAGACCTGTTGGTGGCGCTGTGACGCAATGGCGGGATCAAGCCCAAACTTCCGTGACGGGAACTGGGCATGTGCAGAATTTAGTGAACAGACAACATGGCGAGTGGGCGAGCTGGTACTACATTAGTATGGGCGGACGATGAGGTTGAACTGTTGCTTCGGGTCACACTGGATTACAAAACCAACAAGCTACATTGTTGTTGTCATTATTTTCTGAGTGCGGCGCATGCGTGCTTTAACAAGAGGCGGGGCGATGACGCAAGCGTCTCAGATACATTGCGGAGAGGCAGTAACCACGGAGCGGCATATACGGAGTTTTGAAATCTTTCCACTCTGGGACCTACTTTCAAAAATGTTCGTTTACACCCCCCCAAAACGCCGGCCTCGTATGGACGATACACTGGATTGATAAAGTATTTTTGCGTTTAGGCCTGAGCTTGACTTCGTGTGTACAGGGCCTATAGCTCACATGAGTATAGCTCACCTGAGTATAGCTCACCTGAGTATAGCTCACCTGAGTATAGCTCACCAGAGTATAGCTCACCAGAGTATAGCTCACCAGAGTATAGCTCACCAGAGTATAGCTCACCAGAGTATAGCTCACCAGAGTATAGCTCACTTGCTGTGATAATGTTTAAGTTTCAAACAGATAAATGCACTGATGGTTTTAGCACAAACTCCTGTGAGTTAAAAACGTGTCGTTGTCTTTGTGACAGATGAGAATGAGGCATTTCAGTTCTAATTTATGAATGTATTTATGAATGTATTTCTTGTTTCATTTCCCTGTGGCAGCAGCAACACACACAACAAAAATCACTGAGGAATAGACGGAAAAAATGTTTTTATTGCTGTTTGTGTGGACCCTGGTCTGTGTGGACCCTGGTCTGATCCTGGTCTGTGTGGACCCTGGTCTGATCCTGGTCTGTGTGGACCCTAGTCTGATCCTGGTCTGTGTGGACCCTAGTCTGATCCTGGTCTGTGTGGACCCTGGTCTGTGTGGACCCTGGTCTGTGTGGACCCTGGTCTGTGTGGACCCTGGTCTGTGTGGACCCTGGTCTGTGTGGACCCTGGTCTGTGTGGACCCTGGTCTGTGTGGATCTGGTCTGTGTGGATCTGGTCTGTGTGGACCCTGGTCTGTGTGGACCCTGGTCTGTGTGGACCCTGGTCTCTGGTCTGTAGGATGGATGCATCAATAAAGTGTCTGTCTAAATAAAAGTGTTTTCTATTTTCATATTATAACATCAATGAGCCGCTGTGGGGATCGCTCTAATGTGAAGTTCATGCATGGTAGCCCAGGAATTTCCAGGACAGAAAACCTCCTACAGAACTCCAACTGAAGACTTTGTTAAAGGTCAAGACACAGTATTGAGAACTGTTATTAAGATTTGAAAACTCTGAACAAAAACAGTGTTGGTCATATTTTCTGTTTGACACCACTGTACGTTAAATGACTAATATCTCACACAGAAGGTTTGTACATTTCTAAACCCTGGTGGAGTGTGCTGAGTGTGGGCGGGACAGGCCCGTACCTGCTCCGGTTTGAGTCCTGGTGGGACCCAGGCGTACTCCTCCAGAGCACACCCCGAGTCATCGTCCGAGGTGGAGTTCCTCTGGAAGTCGTACATAAGCTTTGTGACCGTCTTCTCCATCTCCACAGGCATTCTGCTCACTGCATGCTCCTCACAGCGACACTTACAGTGCATGCAGATCTTCCTGAGCACACAAGAACACGGACCAAGTGGAAGATGTTTAAGTCAGATTCAGATTCAGACAACTTTATTTATCTCCTTTATTTATTTATTTATCCCATTCCCACCGGGGAGATTCATCTGAGCAGCACATAACATAACAAACACAGGAAATAAGTGATTTGACACAAAGTGGAGTCCCATACAAACATATGAATAATACAGTCTAACAGTCTAACAACAGTCTAACAGTCTAACAGCAGTCTAACAGCAGTCTAACAGCAGTCTAACAGCAGTCTAACAGCAGTCTAACAGCAGTCTAACAGCAGTCTAACAGTCTAACAACAGTCTAACAGCAGTCTAACAGCAGTCTAACAGCAGTCTAACAGCAGTCTAACAGCAGTCTAACAGTCTAACAACAGTCTAACAGCAGTCTAACAGCAGTCTAACAGCAGTCTAACAGCAGTCTAAGAGTCTAACAACAGTCTAAGAGTCTAACAGCAGTCTAAGAGTCTAACAGCAGTCTAACAGCAGTCTAACAGCAGTCTAACAGCAGTCTAACAGCAGTCTAACAGTCTAACAACAGTCTAACAGCAGTCTAACAGCAGTCTAACAGCAGTCTAACAGCAGTCTAAGAGTCTAACAACAGTCTAAGAGTCTAACAGCAGTCTAACAGTCTAACAACAGTCTAACAGCAGTCTAACAGCAGTCTAACAGTCTAACAACAGTCTAAGAGTCTAACAACAGTCTAACAGTCTAACAGCAGTCTAACAGCAGTCTAACAGCAGTCTAACAGCAGTCTAACAGTCTAACAACAGTCTAACAACAGTCTAACAACAGTCTAACAACAGTCTAACAGCAGTCTAACAGTCTAACAGCAGTCTAACAGTCTAACAGCAGTCTAACAGTCTAACAGCAGTCTAACAGCAGTCTAACAGTCTAACAACAGTCTAACAACAGTCTAACAACAGTCTAACAACAGTCTAACAACAGTCTAACAGCAGTCTAACAGCAGTCTAAGAGTCTAACAACAGTCTAAGAGTCTAACAGCAGTCTAACAGTCTAACAACAGTCTAACAACAGTCTAACAGCAGTCTAACAGTCTAACAACAGTCTAAGAGTCTAACAACAGTCTAACAGTCTAACAACAGTCTAAGAGTCTAACAACAGTCTAAGAGTCTAACAGCAGTCTAACAGTCTAACAACAGTCTAACAACAGTCTAACAGCAGTCTAACAGTCTAACAACAGTCTAAGAGTCTAACAACAGTCTAAGAGTCTAACAGCAGTCTAAGAGTCTAACAGCAGTTGGGACAAAAGATTTTACATGACGATTGGTTTTACAACATGGTGCAACATAACGAGGTCCTGATGGAGTGAACTCATCATTCAGAACATGATCAGTGGACATTCAGTGGAGAGAGACCAGAGAGAGACCAGAGAGAGACCAGAGAGAGACCAGAGAGAGACCAGAGAGAGACCAGAGAGAGACCAGAGAAAGACCAGAGAGAGACCAGAGAGAGACCAGAGAAAGACCAGAGAGAGACCAGAGAGAGACCAGAGAGAGACCAGAGAGAGACCAGCGAGAGACCAGAGAGAGACCAGCGAGAGACCAGAGAGAGACCAGAGAGAGACCAGAGAGAGACCAGAGAGAGACCAGAGAGAGACCAGAGAGAGACCAGAGAGAGACCAGAGAGAGACCAGAGAGAGACCAGAGAGAGACCACAGAGAGACCACAGAGAGACCACAGAGAGACCACAGAGAGACCAGAGAGAGACCAGAGAGAGACCAGAGAGAGACCAGAGAGAGACCAGAGATAGACCACAGAGAGACCAGCGAGAGACCAGCGAGAGACCAGCGAGAGACCAGAGAACGACCAGAGAAAGACCAGAGAGAGACCAGAGAGAGACCAGAGAGAGAGACCAGAGAGAGACCAGAGAGAGAGACCAGAGAGAGAGACAAGAGAGAGACCAGAGAGAGACCAGAGAAAGACCAGAGAGAGACCAGAGAGAGACCAGAGAAAGACCAGAGAGAGAGACCAGAGAGAGACCAGAGAGAGAGACCAGAGAGAGAGACAAGAGAGAGACCAGAGAGAGACCAGAGAAAGACCAGAGAGAGAGACCAGAGAGAGACCAGAGATAGACCAGAGAGAGACCAGAGAGAGACCAGAGAAAGACCAGAGAGAGAGACCAGAGAGAGAGACCAGAGAGAGAGACAAGAGATAGACCAGAGAGAGACCAGAGAAAGACCAGAGAGAGACCAGAGAAAGACCAGAGAGAGACCAGAGAGAGACCAGAGAGAGACCAGAGAGAGACCAGAGAGAGACCAGCGAGAGACCAGCGAGAGACCAGCGAGAGACCAGCGAGAGACCAGAGAGAGACCAGAGAGAGACCAGAGAGAGACCAGAGAGAGACCAGCGAGAGACCAGCAAGAGACCAGCAAGAGACCAGAGAGAGACCAGAGAGAGACCAGAGAGAGACCAGAGAGAGACCAGAGAAAGACCAGAGAGAGACCAGAGAGAGACCAGAGAAAGACCAGAGAGAGAGACCAGAGAGAGACCAGAGAGAGAGACCAGAGAGAGACCAGAGAGAGACCAGAGAGAGACCAGAGAGAGACCAGCGAGAGACCAGCGAGAGACCAGCGAGAGACCAGCGAGACCAGAGAGAGACCAGAGAGAGCCCAGAGAGAGACCAGAGAGAGACCAGAGATAGACCAGAGATAGACCAGAGAGAGACCAGAGAGAGACCACAGAAGACCACAGAGAGACCACAGAGAGACCAGCGAGAGACCAGCGAGAGACCAGAGCGAGACCAGAGCGAGACCAGAGCGAGACCAGAGCGAGACCAGAGAGAGACCAGCGAGAGACCAGCGAGAGACCAGCGAGAGACCAGAGAGAGACCAGAGAGAGAGACCAGCGAGAGACCAGCGAGAGACCAGAGAGAGACCAGAGAGAGACCAGAGAGAGACCAGCGAGAGACCAGCGAGAGACCAGCGAGAGACCAGCGAGAGACCAGCGAGAGACCAGAGCGAGACCAGAGCGAGACCAGAGAGAGACCAGAGAGAGACCAGAGAGAGACCAGAGAGAGACCAGCGAGAGACCAGCGAGAGACCAGCGAGAGACCAGAGAGACCAGAGAGAGAGACCAGCGAGAGACCAGCGAGAGACCAGAGAAAGACCAGAGAGAGACCAGAGAAAGACCAGAGAGAGACCAGAGAGAGACCAGAGAGAGACCAGAGAGAGACCAGAGAAAGACCAGAGAGAGAGACCAGAGAGAGACCAGAGAGAGAGACCAGAGAGAGACCAGAGAGAGAGACCAGAGAGAGACCAGAGAGAGACCAGAGATAGACCAGAGAGAGACCAGAGAGAGACCAGAGAGAGACCAGAGAAAGACCAGCTGACAGTTCCCTCTGTCCAACTCTTATGAGTTTCCAACAGATGTGTACAATTCTTTCAAGACTATTTTTCTCTTTGTGCGAAAGATTAGTAAGAAGTAAGTAAGTAATCTTTATTAATATAGCGCCTTTCTCAGACCAGAGTCAAAGCGGTTTATAATTGTGGGCATTTGTGTCCCACTCCACACAGAGATGGGAGGGGCCAGTACAGGAGGCACAGACCTATTGTACATGTTTTTAGTCAAATCTAATCAAGATTACTGGATGCCTCCATTCTGCATTAGATTAGTTTAGATTCAACTTTATTGTCGTTCAAAGTCAGAAAAATGCAACAAAATGCAGTTTAGCATCTAACCAGTCGTGCAATAGCGCAAATGAAGGATAGTATAAACAAAACAGATTTACAAACCTGCTATTGCTACTATTTTTATGAATTATATTAAATTACATTAAAGTGCTAATGGGCTTTAACCAGTGTGGGCGGGTCCCAGCTCCAAAAGGTCCACGAGCTGTCGACATGCTGCAATCTCACTTCCCCCGGTGGAGGTGTACCCGGAAAGAGATTTACCAAATGCTTTTGTATGCCACTTTCTTTCTCTCTGCAAAATGGCTTTAGAGGCAAAAGTAGTGGAAAATTCGTTTTTCTGTATTAATCTGTAAATATTTTTGGCCTATGGCTTTAACAGAGAGATCATGCTCTGTGATAACAACCATCTCTTGGCCTACTGGTCCTGCCCCCGAGGGTCCCGTGGCGGCTAAAGAGTCTGAGTGCAGGATGGGATTACATTTTGGATTTAGTTTTACAGATTACAATAGTAGCAAAAAGGTACAAACTAGCCCTGATCAAAAACCAGTAATGTTAGCAGAGGCCTCAAGAAACGAAAACCATGAATCGTAAACAAAGCCATGTGGTCATTAACACGCCATCTTTCCTACACGGGGAGAAAATGACTGTGTGAAACTTCTCAAATAAGATGCTCAGGGTGGTCAGGAGGTCGCCGGCTCTAACCCCAGGGCAGACGGAGCACACACAAATCCCATTAGGCTGCAGACGGACGCCGGGCTGTCTGACACACTCAGGAGCTCAGGACACCACTGGAGAGAGCGTGTGGCCTGGGATCTGTCACTGACAAGAAGCCCGTAGAGCTGGCCTCACCTCCAGCGGGAGTCATGTGTGCGGTGCCATTGAGTTTTAGCTTTCATCGACAGTCTCTACAGCGAAGACAAAAGGCACTAATAAAACTCTGTTCCAATACTTCTTTAACTGATAACAGTAGTTCAGATATTTGAATTTCTAAATTACTTTTCCAGCCTCTAAATCTTGTTATTGTTGTCATTTCGATGTCCCGCCCTCCACCGTTTCACCAATCAGAAAGTCTGTGATCCGGGCGCCAGAACTCACCGTGTGGAGCTAATCTCACTGGTAAAGTACCATGTGGCGCAGAACTAAAAAAGATCTCGTTATGATTCTCAAATCATTAACGACAAAACAAGGAATAAAACCAGGATTTCTATCTTTGTGAAAAAGGGGTTGGTTATAGATTTGTTGTTGACACTTGGCTTGAAGCTTCTGGCAACAAAAGTTTGATTGTAATTGTAATATGTTTATTAGACCAGTAAGTGTCACAAACAATTATAGCGTGAACTCTTTCAGGAGTTTCGCCTCAAACACACTTTTCTAAATGTTTAGTGAACCTTTAAAATGAAACGTGACAAACTGTGCGTCTGAAAAGGAGGTTCTGAATCTTGGATTGTTTAATGGTTCAATCCCCCCACAAGACCTTCTCCACCATCTTCACCGCCCTCTGGTGTCTGGTGTCGCTGTGTCCTTGGGCAAGACACTTAACCCCACTTTGCCTGAAGCCCCCGCTGAAAGATTAATGCTCCTGTGGACTCAGCACCTGCAGGAGGATCAGTGAGGGGCTGGTGCTCTGTGCTGTGGGTGCTGCTCCGTCCCAGACATGGATTGATGAAGAAAATGGATGGATGGATAATAAATCATATCATACACAACACATCTACATTTGAATAATAGTTTTAATCTCAAACAACGTTATCAAAGCAGGCTCCAACTGCTATGACCACATTCATTAGAGTCCTCGGTCTATGGAAGAGCAGGCTCCTTCACCCTCCCTGCTCCCTCATCCTCACCACATAAATACTACATGGAGGAGCTCAGATATTATTGACGTGGAGTTGAATGGATGTGATGTTGCGCAGAAGAAACTAAACAACTTAGAGACTAAACAATATCTGAAAGTGCAAAAGGCTTTAGCTATACTTTAGGTGGTCCTTAAACATGAAAGTCAAATTTACCCCAATGGAAGGACCACACAACTAGACAGGTACAAAGCATATAAAGCTGTTGTGGGCCCTTTAAAGACCTTATGACGGGTTTTTAAAAAAAAAATAGTGGATATCAAAATTGCATGACAATGTCAATTTGAAAGAGATTCCGGCAAAAAAAATCCTATATTTTATAAAAAAGAACGTGTTTTTCATGAATTTAAGTTGTCTATGCTCTAACCTGTGTGTGACGTCATAGCGGGTTACGCCCATGCATTGAAAACCATGGATCTATGCCACAGGACTGCCTTTTCTATGGGGTAAGGTTACTGTCAATAAAGACGTGCATGTCTAAAAAAAATGCGTGCATATTTATTGGTATTTGTGCATACAAATATTTTATTAATTCATGATTAAGATAATACAAACTAAAAAGACATGGAATTTCGTAATTAAGAATAAAAAAAATATAAAACTGTGTGATTTTGTTCTTGTGAATGCGATTTTTTTTTTGTGTGCTTGCATTTTCTTTTTGAGAATACGAATTTCAGCTGTGAGCAAACTGTCAATAATACGTCACTGCTCACAGACATTAACAATCGAGCCTGCACAGAGTTGATCAACTTCATTGCCTAAAAACTAAACATGGCAGAAGGACACAACATAAACAAAGTGGCTCAAAATCAAGTATATAACTATATTTTATCATTTTGGTTGTAAATGAATGTGTAAGAAATATTAATTCCATAAATGTGTTCATAATAAGATGTTTCTTGTCCCTCTAAAGGTTTTTTGGCAGTGTTGTTAGCTCCAATGCTAGTTTTATTTTCTTATCCTTATATTGTTTTATTCTACAGAAAATAATGCATTTATTTTAGTCTAAACAACAGACTAACTAGTCTTACTGAACTAGTGAGTAAAAGTAATGTGTCAAATGTACAAATATAAGATTGAGGTCCACAGGGACAGGGTCTGCTACGTCTAACAACCGAGGATGAGTGCAGCACAGAGGTGTTCTTCATAATGCTCAGGGGCAGTAACAGCGCGAACTATGAATAATCTGGAGGGTTGGGGCTGGTATCAACACTTTAACCACATTGATTTGGGGCAAAGGCTTCATAAAATGTAACTGCTAAGAATGTAAAAATGTTGGTTTTAAAATAACATGGTAAGCTGTAAAACTAGCCTTGAAGCTAGTGTTAACTAAACACTGCCTAAAAAAACGTTTCTAGAGAGGGACAAGAAACATCTTATGAACACATTTTATGGAATTAATATTTCTTACACATTTATTTACGACCAAAATGATCAAATATAGTTATTTACCTGATTTTGAGCCAAATTGTTAATGTTGTTGCCCTCTGCCATGATCAACTCTGCGCAGGCTCGATTGTTAATGTCTGTGAGCAGTGACGTCATATTGACAGTTTGCTCACTGCTGAAATTCGTATTCTCAAAAAGAAAAAGCAAGCACACAAAAAAAAATCGTATTCACAAGTACAAAATCACACATACAGTTTTATATTGTTTTATTCTTAATTACGAAATTCCATGTCTTTTAGTTTGTATTATCTTAATCATGAATTCATAAAAATAAATTATGCACAAATACCAATAAATATGCACGCATTTTTTTTAGACATGCACGTCTTTATTGACAGTAACCTTACCCCATACTTTTCTCTCTTCTCTCCACTGATGCCCAACACAATACTGCCCTCTACAGGTGACAATTGCTCATTACACATAAATTGCCGTTTTGAGTGTGAAAAAATGTCCGAGGTGGGATTTGAACCCAAGTATCTGGATTGGCAGTCCATCGACACAACCACTGGACTATCTCAGTGACAGTGAAATGATACATTCTAATAGTTATCTTAGACTCGCTGTACACGGCCTTGTCATCTTGAATATCCGCAAAAAAAGAACGAATACCAAATTGTAAACAACTTACAGCGTTGAAACGTACCCGTTCTGACGTCACCAAGGGCTGTGAAGTTTTTTCGTTTCTAAGGGCGTTGCTATGGGGTTATTTCCATTTGGGGGGATCAGACAAAAAAAACAACAACTGATTTTGAAACCTTTAGTAGTTCTCTTCTAATATAAAATGGTATTAAAACTGTATTTCTAAATAAATCAAACCCGTCATAAGGTCTTTAATGATGACAGATAAGGGCCCTTTAATGACAACTTGACATGATAATCTTAGATATTGCTACTTAAGTCTTACATTAGAAGTCGCAAAAAGAAAAACTTCATCTTAGCACTCATTTAAACTGCACATATGCAACTTCCTTCCATCCAGTCTATAACTTCTGTTCAGTGCAGTTTTAATTACGAGACATTTAGGAACTCCTGTAACAAGTGAATTCCACCAGTGACACCTCATAAATGCTGCTTTCACCCCTGGTTCTTCCTTTCAGTCCTTCGGGGAGAGTAAAGAGCCTCCTGATTGGTCGGCCACAGTGCTGGGTGGGGTTGCTAAACAGCCAGGGGGTAGTTACTCATCCCCATGATGTCAGTGGGCAATCATTCACTGTATCTGGTTAATTATCATTGGCTATTTCTATGGGCAAGCACTGTATCCACGGAGACAGCATCTTCAATACCCAACTCAGTCAGCTTTAAGTCGTTACGTCAACAAAGAAACAAGTACAGTTCACACGCAAAGTATTTATGTGGAAAAGTAGCTGTATGTAAAGTCTCAGAGGAAGGGCCACAACTTTTTTTACTGATTGCTTTGCACAGTTGCACGGTGTGGCGTTAAAAGATATGCGTCGCCTCCAGCTCTAGATACCAGTCAAAATAGTGGAGGAGGCTTATCTCTCGTTGCCAGAGTGTTAACAATAAAACAGTAACAGGGAGGTATGGACCGTGGGCAGAGCACATCAGACACAAGGTGGCGGATCCTCTTCTTTAAATAAACAGCATTCGTTTTTATTTGGGACCAGATGTGTGTGAAAGCATGTGTTGGTTGTGTTTTCAGATTCAAGAGGTAGGGTTCTGTTACTTTAATGATAGTTTTACACACGGCATCCATGCTAACATGACTCAAGAACACATTACAACTCACCAACAAGTAAACTAAGCGACCAAATGGACATCAATAGTTTTACTGGTTTAATAATCAATTTATGTCTCTCTCGTTCGCTGCACTGTCTGTAAAGGGAGAAAAGGTGCAGACCATAACACTGTACTTCCAGATATTTGTGCAACATAAAACTGGGGCACTTTCCAACTGCAGCCACTCTATACTCGGGTCCGGATCACATTACTTATTCATACAGAGTTTGACTTGTTCCATAAAGTGCCCACACTTTTAGCACCACACTGCTCACCTCCAGGCTTCAGCCAAGAACACATCCTGAACACTTTGCAAAAGAGTGAAGGTGGACGAAGAGAAAATAAGTGATCTATAGATGAATAGTAGATAGATTTGTAGACTGGGATTGTTTACATATTTAATTCATTTGTCAATATATGGACATAGTTAAACCCGGTCTGAAAATGCCTCCAAGCATCGATTTTCTAAGAATAGTCCTCAGACGGCTTCAATAATGACAGACTAATAACCCTTTTGTGTTTTAACTAACTCTGTAAGGCCCGGGTAACACCGTTATCATGAATGTAATTAGGCACTATTCAATTGCTCAGCTTCGTGCGTCAAGGCGCAAGAGAGCGGCGCGCTCCGGGGGGTCGGGTGGGGGTAGACGCAGCAGACCACGTCCACACACTGGGACATCCACAACCATAAACCACGTCGCGGTGTTGGATCTAAACACATGGGTTAAATATGGCTCAGGCGGCCTAGTTACGCGTCAGACTCTGGGTGGAAACGGCAGAAGCGACACCGCATGACCCGATGACTTTTATTATAGATCAATGCTGCCAATGTTTCAAGTTATACGGGCAAGTTTATTTATATAGCATAATACATACTAAAGGGGCTGAGCAAAACAAGACAGGAACAATCAGAGTACATTCAAAAGAAAGATAAATATTTAAAATCCCTCAGTTGCAGCTAAACAGAACGTACTTTTTACTTCATTTCTGCAGGTTACTTCAACGCTTCTACAATAATTATATGTATGTTTTGTAGTAACTCAAACAGTGACTACTACAACTCCAAATGGTTCATTAACTATAAGCCTTACCTTCTTATGAGCTGCGCGCAGGAGCCATAGTTGTGACCGTTGCGTAGGCTGAGCTGTGGAAGGCTTTGCCCAGAGTCTTCCTCATGGTGCAGGAATTGTTGAAGAACTTTCAGCGCACAACGCGACCAGACCCCAAAGATTACAGCTCGTATCCTATGTGGCCCACAAAAGCCGTGTCCAACCACCCCCAGCACCCTGCAAACATTCCTCAGAGTTCTTCAAACGAGGAGAAAGTAAAAAAAAAAAAAAAAAGTGAGAATGAAAAACAAAACGCTGTAAGTTCCAGCACCGAGGACACGACCCGTTTCTGTCCGTTTTAACTGTCCCAAAGCAGCAATACTCCTTTGAAGAGGCAAAAAAGAAAGTAAATCCGTGAAGTGGTGCGTAAAAATAGAAGAGGCGTGAGGAGGCTCCGCGCTGCTGCTGCTGAGAGACACTGAATACTGCTTTATCCACCGCCAGACTCCATCCAAGCGCACAGGGATCCACCGGAGACCTCCCCCTGTGCCTTCAAAATAAAACTGACCAGCTGGTATGAGGGCCCTTACTGCAGCCTCTCCCACTCTCCCTGACTCAGGTTGCCAGATATGCAGACGAATCCAGCTGGGACCATAACAGCTGAATAGACAAGAGTTTTGTCAACAACAAATCTATAACCAACACCTTTTTCACAAAGATAGAAATCCTGGTTTTATTCCTTGTTTTGTCGTTAATGATTTGAGAATCATAACGAGACCTTTTTTAGTTCTGCGCCACATGGTACTTTACCAGTGAGATTAGCTCCACGCGGTGAGTTCTGGCGCCCGGATCACAGACTTTCTGATTGGTGAAACGGTGGAGGGCGGGACATCAAAATGAAAACAATAACAAGATTTAGGGGCTGGAAAAATAATTTAGAAATTCAAATATCTTTAAACTACTGTTATCAGTTAAAGAAGTATTGGAAAAGAGCAGTTTATTATTATGACAGATTAGGACCCTTTAATGATGGCAGATTAGGGCCCTTTAATGACGACAGATTAGGGCCCTTTAATGATGACAGATTAGGGCCCTTTAATGATGACAGATTAGGGCCCTTTAATGATGACAGATTAGGGCCCTTTAATGACGACAGATTAGGGCCCTTTAATGATGACAGATTAGGGCCCTTTAATGATGACAGATTAGGGCCCTTTAATGACGACAGATTAGGGCCCTTTAATGATGACAGATCAGGGCCCTTTAATGATGACAGATTAGGGCCCTTTAATGACGACAGATTAGGGCCCTTTAATGATGACAGATTAGGGCCCTTTAATGACGACAGATTAGGGCCCTTTAATGATGACAGATTAGGGCCCTTTAATGATGACCTGACATGGAAATCTTACATATAGCTACCTGAAAATGTTTATAGGAAGATAATCCCAAATTTTAGGAAAGAACCGCCCTCTCCACCTTTTGAACTAAACTCTCTGGTCTTATTGGACGAGCACGAATCACCAGAATGATTGACAATTCGAAGGTCCAAGAGTACTAAAGGTTTTGAAAGCACACAAACATAGCAGTGTAATAAAATGTGACTAGTTGCTGGTTCAAAAACAGTTTGGTGTCATTAGTTTTGGGAAATGTCACATTTTCAGATCAGCTTTTTCAGACCGAAGTGAAAAAGAAAAGACAACCCAATCAGCTCTCTAGTGACTCACAAGGCCGTTCTAAAAAGAAGGTCTGGACATTTTACTTTGTCTGTTAGAAGAAACGACATGTGTTATTTGTGATGTAAAAAGTAAGGTACCATAAAAGATCTCACAAGGCAAATCCGTTCAAAATTCAAGAATGACGCTGGAGAAGTCATGTGGGTTTTCACTTATTTAAATTGTATAATTCACTCAGAAACTTGTGCGTAAAACTAACTTTCTCTCTATAAAATCTTGCACTGTTGTGAGGGCTCCTTTTCTCTTTTACTTTGAAGAGTTATCATTTCCTGTCTCTCTCTTTCTCTCCCCCTCGGCTTCAGTATTCAGCGTCCCAACAGTCCATGGTCCCAACAAACAAGGGTGTCATTAGCGTCAGGGATGACTGGAGTCCCGTCAGCATTTGCATGTGAATAGGACGGCTTCCCTGAATCAACCGGCCCGAGGCAGAGTGACAGAAGGGGGAGAAAGAGTGAAGCCCCGGCCCACACGAGGGAACCCTGGGCTGAAGCACATGTAAACACGACTAAGACGTAGACATTTGTGGGTGAAACAAACACATCCATGAACCACAACATGCATGAAGTCATTTATCAACAACATCCAAAGTCCAGAGCCAATCGGAAAAGCTTATAAAATGAAGACCGCTGAACTTAAATCTCCTGAACCACAAAGAGTGATCTCATGGTGTTAAATCCAGTCTGATCTGGACTAAGTCTGTCTCATGCACAGGGAATGCTGAGGAAGTGGGCCTGGGATCGGTACATATGGTCCATGGGTGTGCAATGTCTAAACTGAATAGAGCCAAAAACACAAAATATTCTGACAATGCGTTCCGTTAGTAATTACTAGAACTCATTAATTGTTTAGAATGAAGGATTTTTTTCCAGCATGAGCCTAAAACAAAAGCAAAACTGGACCTTTTTCCCGCTCAGAACTGACTTAACGACTCTGGAGCCCCCGAGCGCTCCTGGCCTCTCCTTCTCATGAATTACAAACCTGGGCCGGTTCTTGGCTGGACGTTGTTTTGACTCAGACTCAGGTGGATTCAACTGGAACTTTTTACATCCGAGTTTCTCTGAGACTCTTCTAAAAAATCTTTCAATCAAAGAAACAATCAAAGGAAACTTCAGAAGATGTTTTAAGGAATAACATTTATATAATCATTGAATGTGAATCTGACAAAGGTGTAAAACTGAAGAATGTTCAGGAAAATTAATTGAAACGTTAAAATATCTTGCAATTTAAAAGGTTGTTTATATTGAATTATATAAACTTGAGTGGATATTGTTTAAATGCAAACATTGTGCCGCGATAAAGCTCAGGGTGGATCATCAGCTGTTCGTATGATTCTGAAAAGGATTCTGCTTCTTTCCTTCATGTAAATGTTTAAAATATATATTGTAACTATTATTATTGTTTTGTGAACGAAGCATTTTCATGAAATTAACAAATAAATAAATAAATACAAATGGATATGTATGCAAAGCAATCATCAAGATTGGAGGGCCACTGAGCACCAGAAAGGGGATGAATAAGGCTCATTACATTTTCAAGCCACTATAAGCTCTCAGGTTTGGTTAGTGAAAACTCACTGTATGTTAAAATCTTTATCCCGGATTAAAGAATATATGTATGCTAATTTCTTTCCAAAATTAACGATTTCTTTATCCTGCCTGAGGGGGGGGGGGTGGAGGGCGGAGGAGGGGGGGCAGGAACTTAATTAATTCCCTTTCGTTCCATGCATTGTAAATATACGAACACAGGACTAAAGTTATATTTTACAATGCATGGAACTGAAAGGGATATTAATTAAGTTCTGCCTCAGGCCGAATAAGAAATCGATTAATTTTGAAAGAATTAGCAAAATATATTCTTTATCCGGATAATGGATTTAATATCGTATACATGTGAGTTTCACTACCAACCTGAGAGCTTAACAGTGGCTGAAAAAGTAAGAGCCTAAATCAAGCCCTTTCTGGGGCTCAGTGATGCCCACCAATTTGATGATGCTTTGCATGGCAGAGAGACCAACGAAACTGTTACAAGTGTTTGTGTGTGCTATTTATTTTTTGAATAGATATTTTGTTTAAAGAGTGCAATAAGAGGGCACAGGCGGGCGACACTCAAGTCATGTCTTGCTGGTCTAGCTCGGACAGGCCCAGTGAGGCCAAAGACCCAGCAACCAGGCACTCACCCACAAGCACCAACTACCAGGCTGCATCCGCGCTGGTGAAGAAGCTCTTTACCAGTAAAATCTACGTTCCCACCCTCACTTATGGTTCATGAGGTTTGTTTTAAAAAGGCTGAGGAGTTAGACTGAGGTAAATTGACTGGTATGAACACATGGTCTAAAGTGCAGATACTGAGGAAAAGGTCGTCATAGTTGATAAACAATTAAACCAAACAATACAGTTTACACAGTGGTGTGTACCCAGCAACGAATTGTGACAGTGGTTTGCAATTTTGTAATAACTGACATATAGGCTATGCTTGGGACCAACAGTATGACACAATGCAAATGTAAAGGAGCCAATGTAGAAAAACATACTTTCGATAACAAACTATCCATAGCACGAATGAAAGGAGGCTATTATCCAGCTGCATTGTAAAGAATTTCTTCTGTTAGAAAATAAAGGCCTTTGCCATATGGATGTGGAAGACAGCTATTATAGCATCCGACAGATGACGTGTAAAGTCGTGGATCAAAATTATGTATCCATGTGCTGATCTGATCTGACAATTTTGGAAAGGTTACATCAACACCAATACAAAAGAACATAACAAATAAACAAATATGAATAGAGAAGGAAGTGCCGCATCTGCCAATATTCTAAATGTGAAGAGCCATTGTCTAATCGGGCTGTCCACTCCCTTTGATTTGAGCAAATGAGCTGATGACCGAAACAAATGCAAAATAGTGATTCGTCAATGAAACACTCCCTCATTTCTTATAATTTGTTCGATAGAGTAGACCACACACACCGTATTGTTTATGCAGACAATGGACTTGTTCGCAGGAATCAGTTATATGATTGGTTAGATCTTTAAGGGCTCATCTTGCTGAAATACTGCTATGTTGCCATTTCAACAACACATTAACTGATTAATTCACAATATGTGAGACTCATGTATGTTCCTGCGATTAAATAAGCTTAAATAAAAAAGAAATATTTATGTGTGTCTGTTCAGTCTGTTTCCACTATACCTGTAATCAAGTATTTTCATTCCACACAGACTTTAGATTGGGTAAGCTGAGGGCTATTTATGTCTCCTGCCTCTGAAATACCTTATTAAAAAAGTGATCAGACTTCAGCCCAGTGTTCTCATTTCTGTCCAGGACGACTTGTTAGTCCACCCCAAAACCACAGCTCACTGTCCAAATTATATTATCTATCTTCACATCTTTTGTGATTAAGATCACAGGGCCATGTTATATCGTCATGTTCACGATGCTTTCAGCAGTCTGCATCAACAGAAAAAACAAAAATATACAAGATAAGATAGATAAGAATTCCTTTATTCGTCCCACAGGTGGGGAAATTTCGCTGGTTGCAGCACTATAGGACCGTAGTCAAGGAGCACACCAGGGAGCACACACAAATATTATACAAATAAGTAGTAGCTATGTTCTTGCTAACATAACTAGCTGTAGATGCTGAAAATGCTTCCATACCCGTCAAAATATATATATGTAGTAAGTTAGTACTGTAGTTCCTGTTCAGTTAAATGTGCAGGATTAATAAGTAGTAAAGTAAAGAGAACAAAGTGACTTTATCATCTATGGATGAAAAGTTGTTAAAATAACTCTGCAGAGTTGAGCCAATATTGTATTATCTTCCCCAACACACAGACTTTCCATATATCTATAACTGGCACCACTCGGTCTATACATATATCGTAAACAAAAGGGTAACAAGAAACGTATTTGACTTGTTTAAACGTGTCGCTTCACTATGTGCCACTGGAAGAACATAAGAGCGTAAGAACTCTATTTTCTACCGCTCTTTATGAAAGTGAGAGATGAGGGTTTGGTCCAGACGTTACCAGTCCATAGCAAATATCCGTTGAGGTCAGTTTGTATTAACGGCCAAATACTCGCTTCATCAGTGGACCCAACATCGTTTTGATTCACAACAGTAATCCAAAAAAATGCTTATGGCCGTTTTTGAAAAAAATGGATATCAGTTTTACCTTTAAAAGGAGAATACACATGGAACGTCAGAAGAGGCAGTAGAAACGAAAAGGGCGAAACAGACAACATGATAGAAATAAGAATAGCAATGTATGACAATTCTTCATAGCAAACATTTGATATAAACATTTTTTTTTAAACCAGGCAGTATACAAAACTTGAGACAGTAACTTTAAAAAATGAAATGAAAATAACCCAGGTCCTTAAAACTATAGCCTTGTGTAGCACCAACGACTCAGTACTGTGGAGGAAGCAGTCTTTCTCTGATGAAGGAATGAAATTATAGGTGTGCAGCAGCTCCATGTTGTTTGATGTATTTGATTTATGATTGTGTTTACAGTTTGTGTTCTAGGCTCGCCATTCCACATTATTCTAAAGATATGCAATCAAATGTGTTACACATTTATTCTGAACATTTAGAGAAAAATAAAACAGACATATAAGAAGAGAAAACAGGATTCCAGAACATGCAAGGAAACATGCACTTGGAGTTTTTAATTTGTTGGAGTTTCTTTATCGTGACATTTATAAGCGCCGGATCCACCTTTGTGCACTAAGCAAGTGACTATAACACCTGCATGTCTAGCAAACAATCTGAAAATGTACACCAGACATTACATGCTGCTATGAATGCCGCTATTTTTCCAGGTCAATACGTTGTGCCACTATGGGCTAGACAGAAAAAAAGGAGTAGAATGAGCGCCTAAAAAGCTTTGCTACGAATTAGGCCGACATAACGTACGTGCATCGCGGGTGTATAAATTGAGGTCACACTTGGAAATAATACCTAAAATAAGCAATCGGTCTTATATAGTGCTTTTGGACTCTCAAGGCCACTTTCACATGGCCTTATTAATTCACTCCATAAGCAACGGGTGCAACACTACTAAAACTAGTCCAGTTGCCCGTGGACCAAGAAGTCACCCAGAATCGAGGCCAACAAGTACATGATATCGCCCTCAGATTTCCCGCCTGTCATTCACTCACTTTAATTGTAGATTCAGAATGCCGAATAATTGTATCTTGTCATTTTGCAGGTAAATCCAATCTGAAAAAGATGCAAAAAGTTCCCAGTGCTGCACCAGAAAAAAAAAAAAAAGCGAAAAAGTACAAGGAAAAAAAATGAAATCAATCAACCCAAAGAGTTTCATTACAAGTGCAGGACCATTTAAAGTGAGTTGTTCAAACTGATAAAACTTATGTGAAAGAAGCTGATAGAATAACCAAGATTTCCTGAATCCAACAAACAATATATTGTCCGCAAGAGGGAAGAAGCTGGTACATGGCTTTTTACAGGTTGGCCAGAAGAGTCATGAGTTACTTACATTTTGCAGAAGAACTACATTAAATGATGTGGAATGACTTTTAAGTTCCTCTTTGGCTGTAATTATGGGTGAGCATTTCAATCCCGGGTACAGTCATCGTACATTAGGTGGCGGAGAGTTGCGAGGAAATGCCCTAGTACGTTACTGAACAGTTTTAACGTACAAGATAATTGAGCCAATCTGTGCGGAGATTAATTGTAACAATTATAGAAAGTGGTCCAGGAGGTAAGAATAGCCAGTTTTACCATCATAGAAG